GGAATGAATGTGTGAATGGATAAACATTTATTTATTATTTCTCCTACTGGAGTAAAAGTTCTGTGAATGTAAGGATCATATTCCTAACCCTTAGAACAGATCTTTACGTAAAGTAGATTCTCAATAGTTATCTGCGGTTTAATGAATGAATGTGGATGGATGGAGGAACCTGGGAAGAAAACGTCTGCTTTCTTTACGAGGCTCCCTCCAGTCTGCTGAGATGCATTCCGCACTTTTTCGGCAGGATTTTAGAAGGAAAGGCTCTAGCTAGCTCTGCACTGGAGCTCTCAAGACCTGCAGCAGCTGGGCCAACGGAGGGAAGGAGGAGTGAGAGCTAAGAATTTTTTCAATGGAAAATTCAATCTGCTCGGCAGGAGTCTGATGAGAAGCTAGGGGCTGGTCTGAGGAGGATGCAGCTGGAGGGGCTGTCCATCTGGATCTCACAGGCCTCTGGATGCTGAGAGGTTATTCTTAGCCATCTTTTCTTCTGTCTCTATTTTCTCTTAGTCACGGCTCTCTTGATTTTGCAATTGAAGCCTCCTTTTTTTTCCCTTTTGTAAAGCAATGATTTTCCGTATAGTAATTCTTTCCTTCTTTAGACTTCCCAAAGTGGGTGGGTGGTTCTTTTTGTGCTCAGACACTTTGCACATTGCCTCCCACCCAGCTCCTCCCCTGAATGTTTTTGTGGCTGGTGGAGACCTATGATGTGTGCTGGGTATTTGGCCCCCATTTTCTTGTTTGCTTACAACAACCTCCTTGCTAATGATATTTTCCTAGTAATATCTAATATGAGCACATTTCCTGCCCATCCTCCCTCCATCCTATGTGTCTTGAGTTCTGCTGGATTAATATAACTGGAGCCTTAAGAGGCAGCAACACTGAGGGCAGGTGGCTGAGCTTCAATCCTTGGCTCCTGCGTCATAATAAAAATCACTCTCATTGCCATAGTACATCGTGGTTAACAAGCACTTCCACATTCAGAAGCTCTTTAGTCCTCAGAACAGCAGAAGCCAAGGCCTCTGGGGCTTGATGACATCCCCAGCATCATAGGCATAAGAAGAGGAAGGGCCTGGATTTGAACCTACTTTTCTGTTGTTAAATCCCCTGCCATTTCTTTCAGCCCAGGTAACGATCACAAAGTCAAGTGCCTTTAGAGGCCAGGTAGATAGTATAAATGAGAGAAGCTGCTTGGAGTAGACTATATTAAGGATTAGTAAAGACTGTGGGAAACTGGCCAGCATGCTTTGCCTAAAGGTGTTAAAATGCAAAACAGAGCCCAGCCGCTACAGTCCCAGCAACTCAGGAGGCTGAGGCTGGAGGATCACTTGAGCCCAGGAGTGATGATATCTTGCAACATAGCAAGATCCCATCTCTCAAAATACATACCAAAAAAAAAAAAAAAAAAAAAAAAGGCCCAGCATGGTGGCTCATGCCTGTAATCCCAGCACTTTGGGAGGCCAAGGCAGGAGGATCACCTGATGTCAGGAGTTTGAGGCCAGCCTGGCCAACATGGCGAAATGCTGTGTCTTCTAAAAATACAAAAATTAGCTGGGTGTGCTGGCACATGCCTATATTCCCAGCAACTTGGGAGGCTGAGACAGGAGAATCACTTGAACCCAGGAAGTGGGGGTTGCAGTGAGCTGAGATTGTGACAGAGCATTTCAGCTCTGTCAGCCTGAGTAACGGAGTGAGACTCTGTCTCAAAAAAAAAAAAAAAAAAAAGGAAAAAAACCCCATTTGATTTATCACCTACTCAGTGCCCAGTCCATAGTCTGCCTCTTGTTGTTGGGAAAGAGAGAACGTTTGCATGGTGTCCCCTTTACTACTGAGTAGCATTTACTTATGGCTTGGGCAAGCATGACCTTGGTTGTAGTAAGTCTATAGTATAGATGCTTCTGTTGCTTTTAGAATGTAATTACAGCCTGTAGAATAGTATTACGGACCCAGGCATGTACAGATCCTGAGCCTACTCATCATCTCTCCTCCCTTAGAGTTTTTAAGAGATGGTATTCAAAGTAATATTATCTTAATGTCTGTGCAAGTCCCAGACGCCCTTATTTACAACCATGGTCAAAGGTTCTATTCTTTCCCTACCTCTTTCCTTCCTTTCTTGTCCCATTTAAAATCATGGGAACTGTTTGCTCAAATCTACATGCTAAGAGAGAGTGACAGTGACAGAGACAGTATTGGGCAGAATCCCCGAACAGATCCCAAGTTTACCTTCTCCCTAGGGCAGGGGATGTGGAGAAAAGAGAGAGGAGAGAATGGCTCATGCCTTTGAGTAACCCTGCCCACTAGGAACAGGTGGCCCAGTGAAGGTCATGGGCTTTGGCCAATCAGAGAAAAACTTTTCTTTTGAGGGTATTAGGAAGGTGGTAGGTCAAGGTGGGGCTAGCATGGGAACGAGGACTGATGTATATCCCCTACTCTAAATAGAACAGCAGTTAAGACTGTGGCCCCAGAGTGCAGATCTCTGTGACCACCTACCCGCTCCGTGACCCTGGGCTGGTTATTTAACCTCCTTGGCACCTTTCTCCACAGAATATGGGTAACTGCAGGGGTGATGAGGATTAGGTGAGATGGGCATGTATTTTGGTCAGTAAACGTGAATTTTTTTTTTTTTGCTTTGAATTCTGCCTCTGCTATACTCTTGAGCTACTCATTATAACTAGAAACTGAGGAAGCCGTCAAATGCTGGCAGAAAGAATATGGAGAGAATAATTCATAGAACAAGAAATAACATTCTGCCAGGTTTCCCTCTTCAAAACTTGCCACTTGCCCACATGGCCTGATACTACCTTTTCTCTGCAGCTCCATGCCCTCAGATGGTCCCAGTGAGCTGGAATCTTGGTCAAGGGATTTGGGACTTGACTAGGTGAGATTTGGCTCTTAGATGGACTTTTTGTGAAGTAAAATTATGATTTTTCTCTAGTCACTCCAGTTTAACTGTCATTTAGTCAAAAAATTTCTTAAGTAGTTTTCTCATTTGTCTTCATGTGGCTTCTTGTGAAACAGAAAAATTTAAAAATTTTTAAAATTTTTTTCTATTATCCAAACACAACATTGCTGTTTATCCCCTTCCCCCGTCTTTGGAGTTCATTTTCTTTTGTGTGTTTCACATATACCGATGGCAAATAGTTCATAGCAGATATTGCCTAGGTATAGAATTAGGTTCTTGCGAATGTGAAGTATTAGGTTCTTATCAATGGGCAAAAGTGGAACTGAGAAACTGTATCATGTTTATAAACTGATTTCTTCTTAGTTTTCACTCCTACGATGTTTCTGTTGAGACCAGTTGACAGAGTAGGAATGATAGTATGGAAAAAGCACGGATTGTTTTGAAATGCGGATAAGTGACCAATTACATGTATTAGAATGGAGTCAGTGATATACCCTTGGAGATGATCTCCCACTTGCCCCCATCTCCTCCCCTTCCCCTTTCCCCACATCTGTAGTCACTCCCTCTTGGCTAAACCCAGAAGAAAAACTTGACAGAAGCAAAGGGCATCCAGAGAATTATGATCCCTAAATTCCAGTTCCAACTCTGCCATGTTCTGAGCGGTCATCATCCCTCTGGGTCTCAGGTTCCTTATGTATAAGATAAGTAGGAGATTGGGGCCACAACACCTGGGACTAAAGGAACTCTAAGTTTTCATTACTCTATGGATTCCACCTTTGCTAGCTTGGGGACTGACAAGTCTCAGCGGCTGGTTATGTAGCTAATTCCCAAAGCAGATAAATGCCTGCAGGGTAACTGCGAATTGACTCTAATCACGGCAGAATCCAGCCGCTTCAATAGATGCTGGTGCCTTTGGCTGCTTCCCGGAGCCACCAGCCAACCCAGAGATGAAGCTGGCTGAAAAAGCGCACGGATATGTTGGAAAGGCCAGCATCCTCTCTAGACACAGAGTCTGGGAAATACCCATGTCCCCAGAAAGAGGTCATTGAAATCCTTCACTTGGTGGTGCAGTGCAGAGAGTCAGGCAAACCAGGCTTAGAGTCCTGACCCTGCCACTTATACCAGCAGTGTGACCTTGGGCAAGTTCTCTGGCCCTGTGTCATCTTCCTCCTCCATATAATGAAGGTAGCAATAGAGACACCTTGCAGAAGCGCAGTAAGGATTAAGGTCCCAGGAGGCCTAACAGTACCTACTAAGCAGAGGTCCTTAGAGGTACTTAGTAAATGGTAGTAGTAGTTATCTTTTTCCCTGTGTTCATAGGAGTCTCTCATAGAGGACCTGGGCTCGGCGCTCCTCCCCATGGCCAGACTGCATTGGCTCATGCCCAGGGCGCAGCCTCGCCAGGGAGCCTGGTACAGAGATGCTGCTGATTGGGATGCTGATTAAATTCCCTGATTGAGGAGCCTCAGCATTCTGGCCCAGAGCAGGAGGGCCAGCAATATTTAGCACAATCTGCTTAGATCGTCAATTAAGTTGTTTTCCCAAACTGCCCTTTTCAAGGTCTTGTCCCCTTTCCTCACCTCTCTCTGGCCCCTTCTCTCTGGATATTTGCCAGAGAAGGGACACAAAGCCTGTGGGGTTCCGTCTGCTTCCTCCTATCCAGAGAGAAGGTGACAGGAGGCAGGAAGAGGCTGTCTTCCTTGCAGAAGATGCGGTTGTCCATTCAAGGTGGCTGCAGTATCCTCCTGGAGGCTAAAGTCTCTGCGCATTCCAGGCTGATCCCTGTTTTCTTGGCAAACCTGAGCTCGCAACTCAAACCTGCCTCTCCCTCCATCCTTTATCCCGACAGCTCGCAAGTGCTTTGCTGGGAAAGGCGATTAAAGTGGCACTTAGTGTATTTTTCCATTTTCCTGTGTTCACCTGGTAAAAATAAAATCAAATAAAAAAGGAGGCCCAGGATTGAACTGTTATTATTTTTTAAATGGAGAGAGAAGGGGTCACATGACTGCGAGTAACTGATTTAGCCAAGTGGCTGCAACTCCGAGTTTGCTGCAGAGCCGCCCCCTCCCGGCGGGGGCGCTGACGTCACGGAAAAGCCCCGCGGCGGGTCGGCGGGGCTGGTTAAAAGCCGCGAGGCCGCGGCGGCTGCAGGCGGCGGGCACGGACGGCGGGCACCGCGCAGCACTCCCCGCTCGGTGGCCCCGGGATCCCAGCGCGGACCCACGCGATACGCTGACGCCCCGACGCCGATCTGGCCGAGCCAAGTAAGGGGGGCAGCCCAGGACGGAGAAGGGAGAGAGTGGGCGTTTCCCAGCCCGCAGAACTTTGGAAGTTGAGAAAAGAGCCCCTGGAACGTGCGTTCTGCGCTGGGCTTTTCTGGTAAGGGTCAGAGTTTCAAGTGCAAAGGATGTCGCTTCTTATCAGCAGGTTCCTTCGTTCAGTTTAGTAGGAGGGTCCCTTCCTCCTACAGATCGAGTGGTCAGAGAGGGCAGCCTTAAAGATGCTTTATTTGTCTGTTGTTTGAATGTAAGTCTGCCAACTGACAGTGCTGCTTTTGAGACTCAAAAACCGTGGTCGTCCTGGTTCGTGGCGAGGTGTTGGGGTGCGGAGTGTGGGGGTGAGGGTGGGAGAGGAATGTTTGTGCATGTTGCTGATTGCAATGTGAGTACTTATACTTTGTCCCCAGTAGCCGGGAAAAACAGACCTCCCAGCTAGGGGAGGCAGTCTGCAAAGGGAAAGTTGTAGTGAAGTTGCTGAATATCATTTAGAGGAGTGTTCAGTCCTGATTTGCTTCAAGAAGTGGGGCTGAGAATGGTGGCTCAGGCCTGTGATCTCAGCACTTTGGGAAGCTGGGGCAGGAGGATCATTTGCCCCAGGAGTTTGAGACCAGCCTGGGCAACATCGTGAGCCCACGGTCTCTACAAAAAAAAAAAAAAAAAAAAAGATTTAAAAAATTAGGGGGCGTGGTGGTGCGGGTCTGTAGTACCAGCTACTTGGGAGACTGAAGAGGGAGGATCACCTGAGCCAGGGAATTGGAGGCTGCAATGAGCTATGATCGTGTCACTACACTCCAGTCTGGGTGATAGAGCAAAAACCCTGTATCAAAAAAGGAATCTGAGTTGAATTAAAGAACTCTTGAGAGTGGATGTGTTTTGTTAAGAATGAGGCACTTTCTCTGCAAGTTTGATAAGCAGGTGAACATGAGCAGGTCATTTCTCTGCCAGGGTGTCTAGGTTTGGAGCTGGGATGTTGTGAAAGTGGTGCTCTTGATGCTCTCCAGACAGCTGGAGAGCATCAAGGCAACTTTACTAAACATGGAAGTTCCAATAAGTGCCTGTCCAGTCCAGCCAGGGTGCAGGGGGTGATGTCATTGCCACGTGTTTCCCACCGAGACATAAAACCTGCTGGCTGCTGGTGCAATTAAGAGCCAAGTTTAGAAAAGAGCAGCTAACCTGGCCAGCTGGTCCCCAGCAACATTAACTTGTTGCTTTTCAAGCCGTCTCTGGAGGCTGCTGGTTCTTTCCAGCTGCCTTGGTGCCAGCGCTGAGTGCAGATCTTTGATCCAAGGCTGCTTTGAGGAAGGAGGAAGCCCATGGGCAGTGGGTGATGTGAACAGTATTTTTTTTCTCTGTGCAAATGACAGTCTGCCTGAGGAGCTGGTTACTGATAGTGTGGGCAGTGTGTGTTTATGTGTGTGTGTCCAGTTGAAAGCTGTCTTGTTGGGGTTTGGGGACTGTTTAATTGGTGTTCTTTATGTTAGGGATACTTGCTTCTCATTTCATCTAATAAAATATTATTGATGACTGACCATGTATTTGAGCCCCTGAGCCCCTTACTAATGCTGCCATCTTGGCTGCTTTGCTTCCCAGGACCCAACGATGACTCTGAATAATGTCACCATGCGCCAGGGCACTGTGGGCATGCAGCCGCAGCAGCAGCGCTGGAGCATCCCAGCTGATGGTAGACATCTCATGGTCCAGAAAGAGCCCCACCAGTACAGCCACCGCAGCCGTCATTCTGCTGCCCCTGAGGACCAGTGCCGCCGAAGCTGGTCCTCCGACTCCACAGACTCAGTCATCTCCTCTGAGTCAGGGAACACCTATTACCGGGTGGTGCTCATAGGGGAGCAGGGGGTGGGCAAATCCACTCTGGCCAACATCTTTGCAGGCGTACATGACAGCATGGACAGCGACTGTGAGGTGCTGGGAGGTAGGTGGCCCAGCCCAGTGGGCTTCTTTCCATCAGCGGTGGTCCCTGGAAAAAGGAAAGCTGGAAAGAGTGAGGGTGGGTAGCTTATTTACCTGCAGAGTTGGGAGCTGAGGTTATGCATTTTGGACAATTGATCGGGGCACCAAGTCCCCAGAAAAGTGCAGGCACAGGCTCTTGGGGCAAGCAAATGAAAATGCTCGTAGACAGGACCAAAATCTACTGAACCTGGTCCAGAAAGGTAATTTTTCAGATTCCAATTCTAAATAAGTCGGGCAGGCTGATTAGAGAGGGCAGAGCCAGAGGGTCAGTGCCCCACCTCTGACTTCTGCTGACTCTGGCTTGAACGTTTTTCCTGGAACTTGGTATAGACACAGCCTTTTTCCATGGTTATACCTAAAACAAGCCAATTGGAAAAGCTGTTAGGATGGATCGATCAGTTTGCTTCCACCAATATTAGAAACTTTTGTGGGTGTAAAATAGTTCAAAATCTGTATTTGAAATAGTATATATATTTTTTAATGTGAAGTATAACAATCATACTTTATGTATAGAGTCTGACAGCTTTCCAAGACAATTTTCCCTGTACAGTCTCATTCATCTATTTATTGATTGGGCCTGGCCTATTTCCAAAACTGTTTTGAGCTGACATTATCTCAAAATGCATGTATTCTTCAGCTAGGGGTAAAGCACAGCCCTGTGTTCTGGGAAGTAATATGAGGATCCTGATAGCCAATGCTGTCCCTGAGGTGTCTTTCAGCAATGACTTCAGTCTGAGCGTATGTGATCAGGGTAGCTACATGTCCCTATTTGCAACTACAGAAATGAAGAAAGAACTGCCCAGTGTTTGCCCAAGTCACGTGGTCGGTCTGTGTTCTGTCGCGACTCACAACTGAATCACAGAACAGGGAGGTGTCTTAGTGATGACTCAGTTCTCCCCTGCATTGATGCATATGAATGCTATTCCTCACTACTCACAGCCCATTTCATCTGGAGGTTTTATTCTTCTTGACTGTCTCAGTGTCAAGGGGTTCACTGCTTCATGAGGCAGCTCAGAAACTGGGCTATAAATGATGAGTCATTGATGTAACATTGATTTCTCTCCTTGCTTCTGGAATCTCACGAGAGTCAAGGGAGAAATAGGGCCAGTGTCGTACAATTGATTCTCTCTTTCTTTGTAAAGGCTGGCAGATGATTTGCTAGGAGAGAGAAAAGGGAGGGAGGGTCTAACTTTTAGAGTGAGTGTTTACAATGGGAGAGGCCTTATATTTGCCGACGTTTATTTTGGTCTTCACAGAGTTCGTGTACTCACGAGTAAGCTGAATCTCAGGGAGACCAAGTGGCTTATCCAGAATCATCCAATAAGGAAGGTGGATTTAGAATTTGGGATTTTATAAGCCTAGTTCTGTTCATTTTACCATTTCTGGGGAACCTGCTGTGTGCCAGGCACTGTGTTAAGTCCTTCCCACACATGTTTCTGATAATACTTGAATCAGTCTGGCATTAATATCCCTATTTTACAGGTGAAGAAATGGAGGCTTACAAAGTCAAGTGGCTTTCTCAGGGTGAAAAAGCTAGTACATGGCGTGACCAGGATTAAAATCTAGTCGTGATTGAACTCAAATCCTGTGCCTTTTCACGGCCCCCTGCAGCCCCAGGATTTAGCTTCCAAATACTGAGTATGACAGTGCACTGGGCATCAGCCACATGTCTGGCTCTGTCCTAAGCTCTGGGGTACTGTGGCTCTTAGTAATGGGCTAAGTGCCAGTGGCTATGCTGCAGAGCAGGGTCCCATTAACTAATATTTTAAGCAGTAACAATACAGTGCTTGGGATGCTGACATAAGGAAGAGATCAACTGGGAGTTGTTTTTTTGTTTTTAAGGGGGAAGAATTGGAAAAAGTTAGTGGATAGTAGACTTTCAAAAGTGTTTTTCCATTAGAATGGAGGGGTATGTATCCAGAGGGTGATATTCCCATAGGGACAAAATGTTAAGGAGACCGACTCATACCTGGAATTTGGGAAGGTAGGCTTCCCCAATATTTGGGGAACTTCTTTGTTGAGAGAGAGGGAGATGCCCGATATGGCAGCACATTGGGCATCAGGCATATGGCTGATCCTGGGGCTGCAGGGGACCGTGAAAAGACACAGGATTTGGGTTCAATCACAAGAAAGAGAGTCCTTCCCCTAGCTTCTTACACAGAGAATCTGTAGAACCTGCTAGAATCAGTAGTTGGCTTTGTTTCCCAAGAGGAAGGTTTTCTAAGGCACACCCCTATATATATATTTTTAAATTCAGCATTTATCATAAGAAAAAAAATCAACAAAATATTCTCATAATTTTTCTCCTAATAAAGATGGATATTGTTACAGTTATATTGCAGTAATCTTATGACTCTGTGTATACACTGAATCCCATTCATTCATTCATTCATTTGTTCATTCATTTGTTTATTCCTAAGAAGTTACTGAATGTATAGCACAGAGCTTAGTGAGGCACTCTGGGGACATGCAAAGAGTCATGGGGCTTCTTCTATGGAGATGCTCACGGTATGCAATGGAGCATAATGTATACACCAAGTAGAAATTGAGATAGGATGTGATAGGTGTCTTGAAAGTGGTGTAAGGAGAGTGCTGTGGGAATTCAGAGGGGAAAAGATTACTTCTGACTATAGATTTAAAGCTTTATGGTTGGCTGGGCATGGTGGCTCACGCCTGTAATCCCAGCACTTTGGGAGGCAGAGGCAGGTGGATCACCTGAGGTCAGGAGTTCCAGACCAGCCTGGTCAACATGGTGAAAGCCCCATCTTTACTAAAAATACAAAAAATTAGCCGGGCGTGGTGGCAGGCACCTATAATCCCAGCTACTCAGGAGGCTGAGGCAGGAGAATCACTTGAACCTGGGAGGCAGAGGTTACAGTGATTGAGATTGCACCATTGCACTCTAGCCTGGGCAACAAAAGTGAAACTCTGTCTCAAAATAATAATAATAATAATAATAATAATAATAATAATAACAAAAGCTTCATGGAAGAGGTGGTCTCTGAGCTGGACCTTCGGGACAACTAGGATTTGGAAGCCTTGAGCTAGGTGGGAAGGCACACCACACATACACAGCAAAGTACAGGAAGCCACATTGAGCTTGAGGTTTGATGAATGGGTTTAGACACAGCTCTGACACTGACTTAGCTGAGTATTCTTGGACAAGCCACTTAGCCTCCTCAAGCTGCCTCATTAGTGTAATTGGGGTAATGCCTCCTTCATAGGGTGTTACGAGGATTAAAGGAGATAACGTGTTGAGCATGAAGCATGGTGCCTGGTACCTAGTAAGTACGGAATGGGCATTAGTTAGAGCTCATTCTGAATCTACCCTTTCCTTTTGATGTGCTTATCTTTTAAAAGTGGTGGTTTCATTGCTTGTAGTCTCTGTCCACTTTGGTCACTGTTGTCTAGGACCCTTGGAGCTGTGCAGAGGAGACCTCGGCCAGCAGAGGCGGGGACAGTATTCATAGAGCAGGCATTTCTTCTGAGGTTCTTTGGGATCCCTTGAGCTATGAAAGCTGGAAACAGTTGAAAGTTTTTGGGAAGAGGGATACCGGAGCCTCAGAACTTTTTTTTTTTTTTTTTTTTTGAGACAGAGTTTCACTCTTGTTATCCAGGCTGGAGTGCAATGGCACGATCTCGGCTCACCGCAACCTCCGCCTCCTGGGTTCAGGCAATTCTCCTGCCTCAACCTCCTGAGTAGCTGGGATTATAGGCACGCGCCACCATGCCCAGCTAATGTTTTGTATTTTTAGTAGAGATGGGGTTTCACCATGTTGACCAGGATGGTCTTGATCTCTTGACCTCGTGATCCACCCGCCTCGGCCTCCCAAAGTGCTGGGATTACAGGCTTGAGCCACTGCGCCCGGCACCTCAGAACTTTTGAGGTGCTGCTGGAGCCAGTTCTGGCAGTGAGAACACCTGTGCAGGATGCACACACAGTACTTGAGCCAGAAGGGATCTTGACTCCAAGCAAAAAGAGTGTTAGTGAAAATATCGTTAACATAGTCAGGAAGACCTTATGCAGGACCATTGCAGTAGGCATCCCGGCAGTGGCAAGAGATAACAGAAAGAGTAAGTGGGCACTTTGCCAAGGAGCAGGTAGGAGGGGGTTAGAGGATGGAAACTTACTAAGAGGAGATGTCAAAGTTAGGGGGATTCTTGCTGAAATCAGGATTTAGACATCAGAGGTGGAGGATGAGGAATTTGATCAGATATTGGAGGTGGGAAGAGTCACACTAAACTGACTTACCAGGATTCTTGCTATAGTTGGTTTTTGCAAGTATGGAAGCAGAAGGCCAGGGTGGAGGGTGGGTAGAGAAGAGGATTCAGAGGAGCCTGACTCAAGTTTGCTCAAGGAGTGAATCTGTCAGAGGGATCAAATGAAGAAAGACAAACTGGTGTAGAGAAAGTGGCTGCTGACCACCATCACTTCCCGTAGAAACCTGGCCGTCCCCATCAGCAGATATTCTCTTGCTACACAGAGAGTGCACAGACACCCCAACTTTCTTCCAGAGCACTGGAGAAATGGGGGTGACTCTAGACCCAGGCTACTGAAAAGCCTTACAGAGGCTAATCAGCATCCAAACCTTTCTCCACACCTTAACCGGGAGCACACTTGAAAGAGCTCTCCTAGAGTCTGATATTCTTTTCGTTCCCTTCTTCTTACTTGGTTAGCACTTGAAAAGGATAAAAGATGAGCTGAGCAACTTAGAGGAAGAGAAACCTAGAGCTCTGTTACTCCCAGGCTTGCACCTGGTTAGGGGAGGGATGCCATGTGTGCTGGAAGGGTCCTGGTGCACACAGCCAGAGGCCATATCTAAACTCCTGTACTGGGGTGGCGGGTAAAGGGGGGGTACACGTGCTGAGCAGGGAGGAGATGGATTTCTTTAACCTCCCAGGCCCTCCAACACAGTGATTTTCAGGCAGAGGTAAGGTCAGACAGAATGACCCTGTCAGGAAGCTTCTAGAACGGCAAAGCATCTTGTTTCTACTCTTATGGCTGTGATCCTTAGTCCACTTTTTCTCTAGACTTGTTCTGATGTTTCTTAAGCCAGGAGAAAGTTGGGTTTTCTTTTTCCATCAGTGACTGGAACACAGTATGTTTCTATTTGAATGACTGGGCACTCAAGCAAGTCCCCTGTACCTGAGGGGTGGGCTGAGGGCAGAGAAAGTTCCTCCATCATTGAAGGAGTTGTCTGAGTGCAGGAAGGGATTTTAGAGAAAAGCTAAGAACCCTATGGTGGGAAGCGGCAGTCAGCCTGTCCCCGCTCTGTGCTGCCCAAGCTCTGATCGTCTCCACCGCATTGTCAAATTTGCATGTTGAGGTTGTGAGGCTCTACCCTGCCCCCGCCCCGTAATCCGAATAGTCCCACTGTGGTGTCATTCCTTCTGCGTATTGTGAGCAGGCACACACGATGGGCGTGACAGTTTAATCCCCCAGTGGCAAACACTTACTGATGAGAAGAATGACACTGTGGGAGGAGAGGGAAACTCATAGAAAGACAGGGCCATCCCTGGTTAACTCTCTTCTTATTTGTCCAAGTTTTCCTTCTGTAAGGAACCTTTCCTGGTTCCAGTTCTTAGATGATGAAGCATTGATCCAGGAGCAGTGTTTTTCATAAACCCTTTGCTATTATAAAACAAGAAATGCCCTGGTTCCAATGTAGCTCTCCTAAGCTAGGATTTATCTGTAGTGAGAAAGGGCTGAGTATGGCAAGAACCAGCTTCCTTCACCTGAAGAAGGGATAGTGACTACCATTGATTGAGTTTCTGCTTTGTGCCCAGGCTTAACATATGTAATTGTCACATAGCCCTAAGGTGTGAGTACTGTTATCAGTCCCGTTGCACAGATGAAGAAAACTGAGGTTCAGAGAGCTTAAGTGGCCCAGACCCACAGAGTTCATAAGAGACGACCCCTGGATTCGAATTCAGGTTTGCTCGTGCTGGCAGCCACACTGCTATATTTAACATCCGTTCACTGCACACACGTTTATTGCATACCAGCAAGGTACCAAGGTGCCGAGGGACACGGTAAACAGCACAGATGCAAATGTCTGCCCTAACATTATGAGGAGGGGCAGGAGGGACAGAAAATAATTCAATAAGTTAAATGTGTCGTATGTTAGGTGGCAATAAGTGCAATGGAGAAACAGAAAACAGGGAAAGAATACTGCGGGAGAGAAGTGTTGCAATTTTAAACGGATGGCCGGGAAGCCCCTCCCCCAGAGGGAGGTAAGGGAATAGGCCTTGTGGATATTTGAGGGAGAAGATTCTAGACAAAAAGAACAAGTAGAAAATGATAAATCATCATGAAAGTCATAATTTTCAAAAGATGAAATTCAAAACAGGAAGGCTCATTGTGAAAATAGAGTGAGGATGGGCTCAATTATATTGGGATGGTGGGAATCCCACTTGCAAAAATCCCACTGGACCCTTTCTACGCCTGCCCCGCCACGGATTTTTCCAGGCTGGAATTGCTTTGGCCCGTGGTACTGTTACTGTGCTCACCCTTCACCTACACATGATCTGGGCTCGGGTGCAGGGAGGAAAGTTTCCATGACCAAGCAGAGCTGGAGGCTAAATTTCTGTTATACTCAAGATGGAAAAACAAGCCCATTTATTCCGAGGGAACAGCATTTTTTTTTTTAAAGGAAGAAAACTACAGCCAAAACAGGGAGAGTCTTAAGATTCTTTCCTGCACTTGTCCAAAGAGGAGCAGTGTCTCTGAGCTCAAAGCTCCTGAAATTGCCAATGAGTGTTAAGTAACTACCCACCGAAAGGTAAAATGGACTTATGAAAATGGGGCTTACAGTTTCACTGGGCAGTTAATGTTTTCTCATAGCATTAATCATTGAATCTGAGACAAAAGTCTTTAAGTTTATCCTCATAAATGATTTTCCCATGTAAAAGGTCCAGGAATGATGAAAACAAATGGCTTTTGCTCCATGTGGTTTGGTGACGCATGTTTGAGAGATATGCTCTGCTGGAGGAATATAGTAGAATGTTGTTGAAAGTGACAAAAAATAGAAATTCGCCTTTGAAAATGTCTTTATTTTTGCATAATTAATTGCATAGTTAGTGAGTTTATGTTCTAGCATAAGTTTCTACATGACCCTTTTATGGAAAAGTATTGCATATTCACCTGACTCCAATATCTTTGTTCTTTTTTTTCTAGAAGATACATATGAACGAACCCTGATGGTTGATGGAGAAAGTGCAACGATTATACTCCTGGATATGTGGGAAAATAAGGTATGCAGAGCCTGGAGCTCTCTAAATTCCTTCGGGGGTTTTCCTTCCAACAAGCTGTTTGGTGTGAGGGTGACCTTGTCCTACATGGTGGGTGTTACAGATGAAGTGGGCTCGTTTTCTTGATTAAAAGCGTGCTTCTGAAGAATGAGACCATTCTGAGGAACAGGTCATTCACAGATGAGTTCTGAATAACAAACAAGTTGTAGTGACTTGCCTTTAGTTCTATTAAAAAACACACCAAAAATGTCTACTTGTTTTAGGGAAAATACAAACAGGCATGGACTGTTATTTTAAGTAACAAAAATCCATCTCATCTGAAGTTGAGATTCTCAATACTAGTTTGCAACATTGGCTTTTTACAGATTTTAAAATATTTCAGAACCTATGTGGTAGACTTCTGTTTATTGAAAATCCCTCCTAGTCCCCATAAAAGTATTCTTAATCTCATCACTTGGAAAAGGCAAAAGGGAGTTTTTGGGAAGTCAGAAAAGGCTCATTTATGGTAGATTAAGTAGAAATTGGAAATGCTGTTTGGCAGAGTAGTTGTGTAATTTACCAACTCAAGCTGCAGAAGACACTGAAAAGTAAAAACTTTTTGGCATAAATACTGGACAGGCTAGCAATCTTTCCAGCCACCAAACATCTCGTAGGCATGGAAGACCAATGCTTTTGGAGAGCTGGAAGCAATTTCTTCCTTTCTTCTACCAGCAAGTGTACTTTAGGATACACATATTGTTTCTTTGGTAACTGACGCTTCATTCCCCAGGTCAAACTGAACTCACAGAAGATCTTATTGTTTCATTAGGGGGAGAATGAGTGGCTCCATGACCACTGCATGCAGGTGGGGGACGCATACCTGATTGTCTACTCAATCACAGACCGAGCCAGCTTCGAGAAGGCGTCTGAGCTGCGAATCCAGCTCCGCAGGGCCCGGCAGACAGAGGACATTCCCATCATTTTGGTTGGCAACAAAAGTGACTTAGTCCGGTGTCGGGAAGTGTCTGTATCAGGTAAGAGGAGTAGAGCCAGTACTGCAGAAACAATCGCTGGGCCACGTGCATTTCCTTCAGTCAGGGGCTCTTCCTTCCTTCCAGGAGGCTGGATCCAGGGACTCATTAAGATGCTATATGAAATTTTAGGTGTATTTCTAAGACTCCTACAGCTGCCCTGGGTCTCCTCCACCCTGGTTGCTCTCCCTTGTTCGTGTGGTCCCCCTGCAGGATGCCAATCTTCCTGCTTCCAAGGGGTTTCCTGAAATTCCCGAGTACAGGGAAATGAAAGGAGCATCTTCATGCAAAAAGGATAAGGAACTCTGATTTAGGGGAACTGTGAGAAAGAGTTCCATTGAGGAAAAAGAATTCCATTCTGGCTGACTCTGGTCCCTGTACACCCTAGAAACACTGTCCTACTCCCCATCCCTGGCTTCTGAAATTTCAGTTTAGGCATCAGTCTGATGGTGTCACATATTCTTCTTCATACGTAGTTCAGGGAAAATCTCTGTCTGCTGAGTGGGCACCCAGGTGCTTTTACAGCCCTTGAGATTTTAGTGGCCTAATTCGGACTTGATGCCTGGTACAATTATAAAAATAAAATACTGCATTGCCAGGCCCTGCTCAGGAGGAAAGACCGTGTACACGCTAATAGAGGCAATGTACACATAGTTTGGGAATGTCTCCCTGCTAGGAACAACTGTTGACAGTACTTTTCCAAACCAAATCTTGCTGCGTGGTCATTAAACACAAAGAAATATTTGAAATTGAGACTGTCTCAGAAAGGCTTGTATAATTTACTCTAAGTGAATTACACATTTATAAAATTCTGTTTTTTCCAAAGATATCTCATCATTGCTTTCTAAAAAAACTTTTTATTTTTTTTTTCAAGAGAGGAAAGCCAAGTAGTAGAATTCTTATTCTCAATTCAGGAAACTGAGTCAGGAGAAAGAGTTAAGAGTATGGGCTTGAGAATGGAGCGGGCCCGGATTCACTGCCACTTACAGGCTGAGTAACCTTCACCTGCAGGGGAGACTCCCCTCGGTTTCTTCATGTATTTGATGGAGGTAATAATGTACTTTCCAAGATTGTTGTGGACATTGAAAACAGTGTTTACAAAGAACTTAGCCTTGTTTTTGGCACATTGTAAGTCTGCAGTAAATTTAGGCTATGGATTTTACTGCTATAACTAATATCACTGTATTTGATGAAATGGGACCTTCAGACAGTGAATTTGTGGTGGACCAGGTCTAAAGCCCATCGCGCTTGCTTCCAGGGATCCTCCAGTGAGACATTTTCTATCCATGCCCCGGGAGGGCCTGTGCCACAGGGGTGTCCTCTATCCAGTGCATATATGACTGACTTAGTGTTACCTCGAAGAACCATCCAGCTTGACTGTGTGCTGTGCAGGACTGTGCTCTGCAGCCCCTCTGACCTCTTTCCCTTCCTGTGCTTCCCAGAAGGAAGAGCTTGTGCTGTGGTGTTCGACTGCAAGTTCATCGAGACCTCCGCGGCTGTCCAGCACAACGTGAAGGAGCTGTTTGAGGGCATCGTGCGGCAGGTGCGCCTTCGGCGGGACAGCAAGGAGAAGAACGAGCGGCGGCTGGCCTACCAGAAAAGGAAGGAGAGCATGCCCAGGAAAGCCAGGCGCTTCTGGGGCAAGATCGTGGCCAAAAACAACAAGAATATGGCCTTCAAGCTCAAGTCCAAATCCTGCCATGACCTCTCTGTGCTCTAGGAACCCAGAGTTACCCAAATGTCCCTTTGATGGACATTGTTGAAGGCCATTGGGACTAATAATCTATATTAGATTGGATACTTAAGTATTGTTAGATGTGGTTTCCCCCATTGTAGCAGGGAGCTAGTGTATTAACCTCTTGGGCCACATGATGCATGGGAAATGAAAGATCTTTGTAAAGAGTCAGTATTTATTTCCAGGAAAAGCCTGACCTTGCTATTTGAACACCCAAGACTCATTAGAGGATGTGTTTGGTGTTCTCATGTGTTTCTTCTCTTTTGGATAGTAGAGAAGTAAAGCTTACAAAGAATGCCTAGAACAAGCACTTTTCATCATTAAAATTTTGCCCATTGTTCTGATATGTGACTTTGAGGCCAATGGGTCATAAACAAATATAAGAAAGCTGTCAATGAGTTCATTCAAAGGAGGGAAAACTTTCTACGTATCTAAGATCCGTGGGGCTAGAATTGTAGAACTAGGCTCATGAGAATCATGACTATTACTGCTCCATCAAACTGTGAAAAGAAATGATGTGGACCTTGCTGGAGACTAAGGCTTAGCAAACAGTTTTTTTCAATGTCCACCAATACTTACAGAATTGGGAACTGATACATGTACCCCTTATAGGCTCAAAAAGTATATATCTTACAATTTGTTATTTAGGGGGAAATTATTTGAATCAGATTCTATTTAGTCAAACCACCTTTTATGTTTTGTTATTTATGAATTCATGGAGCCATCATAAAAATATTTTTAAAATCAGAATTATTGATACCCTGGAGTGTAAAATGTCAATTTTTAATGTATAATCCAAAGTCTGAATTTTTATAAAACATATAGCATAAAAACTTCCAGTACTTTGGTTGACCCTTGTATGCCACAGCTCTGCTCTATTTATTATTATTTTGCAAAAATTATCATTTTAACATTTGATAAAGCATATTTATGAACATATTTCTTAATAAGAAAAATATCCATTTTATTACCATTTTCTATCTTTTTCAAAATATGCAAGTTTTTACCTATATGTCTTATAATAAAACAAATAAAATATTTGAAAAAAGGCATTCTTGATTGATTTTCCTCCCAAGCAAGATGCTTAGGATTATTTTTCTGCAGCCTTTAGAGCAAGCACATTCCAAAGAGACATGTACCTATTGTTTTCTTTCTTTTTCTCACTAGCAATAGCCCAGTAATCATTAAAGAGTATCCCTGACAGCTCTGCTTTGGAATCACGATTCATGATAATGCAAAGTTATTTTTGGCTGATACCACTGGAAAGTATTTGGGGTTATCTCAATGCTAAGTTATAGGAAAAGCCAGATTGACCTTTTACTTTGGTCTAGTACATGCCTGGCTGAACAGATGGGCCTCACTTTATTCCCTGGAGGCTCATGGTCTTAAGCTTGTCTAAGGCATTAGAGGAAGTTATAAAGGATTAGAGGGAAATAAAATAAAGGAAACTAGTGATTTCCAGCCTGAGATCTAGCCAGGCAAAGCTTTCACCAAATTCTCCTCTCTGACATTAATACAGCTTGACATTAATCACTTGGCAGCTATCCAGTGACTATGTGCAGCCCTTTTGCTGACTGGAACTTCCTGGTATTCTCCATTCTCATGTTCTCTGGCCCTATCTATGTGCACCCTACTTCACTCTCATCTCCCTAGGTTTCTGAGTTTGTAGTCAGACACACACTGATGGCGGCAATCATGGGACCTCAGACATTCCCTAAAGTGACACAGTTGTTGTTGTTGTTTTGAGACAGAGTCTCACTCTGTCACCCAGGCTGGAGTGCAGTGGTGTGATCTCAGCTCATTGCAACCTTCACCTTCTGGGGTCAAGCAATTCTCCTGCCATAGCCTCCCAAGTTGCTGGGACTACAGGCTTGTACCACCACACCAGGCCAATTTTTTTTTTTTTTTTTTTTTAAATTTTTAGTAGAGACAGGGTTTCACCATATTGGCCAGACTGGTCTCGAACTCTTGACCTCAGGTGATCCGCCTGCCTCTGCCTCCCAAAGTGCTGGGATTACAGGCATAAGCCATCATGCTTGGCCTTAAAACGACACAGTGTTAAAGGGTTTCTCTGCTCTGTTTTTGTGGTTCTTTCTCCTTTTCCACACTGAGCACAAAGGTTCCCATTTCTATGCTCTTTGCATCTTAGAACTGCTCAAGGCAATAGCATGGATTGATGATACAAGTAAAGTTTCAGGTTACATAGACCTGGGGTGAATTTTGGCTGTGGAATTTAGCATCACGGCTTTTGGAGTAAAGATTAAAGATTTCTAGCTATCAGCTTTCTCATCTGCAAAATGGGGTGGCCAATAATACCCACTTTGTAAGTCTGTTGTGAGATTCACATCTTTTAACCTGCCATACAGTAAAGAGTTCAAGAGAGGTTCATTTCATGGTTGTACATTTTCCATTCTGTATCATTTGGACTTAGTTTTACGTGTCTGTTTCCCCTAATTTCAATGGAAACTTCTTCAAATCAGGGACCACCACTTCTTTTCCTCCTTACCCTTCTACTCTTCAGTGTAGTGCACTGCATGTATCAGGATTTTACTCACTTTCTTCTTGAACTTCACAGATCCTCCCAACACCTTCATGAGGTCAACAGGTCATCTCTCAGCAGACTAGTTCAGGTGGATAAATGTCTGGTCTAGTTTGTTCAGATGCTAAGTGTCTGAGCTAGGACTGAAGTCCACATGTCACTTCTGGTCATTTGTATATTCTTATTTCCAAAACTTTCCTATAAACACAGCCTGTTTCATCCCCATGTTTCATCACACATACACACACACACACACACACACACACACACACACACACACAATGCGTATACATTCTTTACACTACTTTTCTGTTCTCACAATCTCAAGCTTCCTCGTCACTTCTTTCAGATCTTTCCAACCAAATGACCAACAGATCCAAGGCTCCCAGGTTTAAGGCTGTGTTCAGGGTTGTCATGACCACATTCCCTTGTCTTGAGCCAGGGCAGGATAATGCAGGCTGCAATCCAACTGGAGAGGATTTTTGGTTAAGAGCTATAGCTCCGGGGTTAGACAAACCTGGGTTTCAATCTGGTTTCATCACTTCTTGGATGTGTGGACACGAATCGAGTTCTTGACTATCTCACAGCCTCAGTTTTCCCATCTGTAACATGGGAAGAATGCCCACCGCATAGGGTTGTGGTAAGGATTATGTGAGACCTGCAGAAGTTAAGTCATCATCTCAGGGACAGCACCGACTCCACCCACTCTAGTGCAGCATCCACACCTTCACACACTCATGCATTCTTCAGACATTATTGGACATCCAGGTGCTTGCTAACAGCTACTGGGAATATAATGATGGCTAAGATATTATCCTCATCCTCAGAGACCTCAAGAGTAATAAATTTGTCCTGAAAAGTCAAAGGAACTAGCATTGGCGATAGGAAGAAAATGGAGAAATTGTGAAGGGATTATACAAGGAAGGGACTGGATTTGCCACCATTAGATAAAATTTATACGATGCAAAACATTGTTAAGATGATTTAGATATGGAAAAGAAAATTAGGGCACTAAGGCCAGATGCAGTGGCTCACACCTATAATCCCAGCACTTGTTGGGTGTAATGGGTTAAACAGTCTTCCCCCACAACTTTGTGTCCACTTGAACCTCATAATGTGACTTTATTGGGAAATAGGGTCTACGCAGATGCACTAGTTAAGGATCTCAGGATGAAATCACCCTGGATTAAGGGTGAACCCTAATTCCAATACGTGGTGCCTTTATAAGAGAAAGGAGAAAGATTTTGACACAGAGAGAACACAGAGGGAAGAAGGCCATGCAGAGATTAGGGTTACAGTGCCAACGAGTGTTTGCAAGCACCAGAGCTGAAGAGATAAGGAAGGATTTTCCCCCCTAATGCCTTCAGAGGGTGCATGGCCCTGCCATCATGATTTTTGGATTTCTATGCTCCAGAACTGGAAGAGTGTACATTTCTGTTATTTTAAGTCATCAAGTTTATGATAGTATCAGCAGCCCTGAGAAACTAAATACTTTGGATTACTTAGGGCAAGTGAATCTTAATACACCTCTATTTCTTCATCTGAAAAACAAGAATAATAATACCCATCTTATAGGAATATCATCAGTAAAGCACTTTACTTATCAACTTATTGTTTGCCCAAGAGTTGGAGAGGGAGTGAACTGGAAGGGTAAGTTGGGAAGCAATTGTAGAATACACTGAGTTCCAAACTGAGAAATTTGGACTTGGCTCCGAAGATAATGCAGGTGCTTGAATATTTCTAAACAGGGGTGTGACAGATTAGAGTGGTGCTGCTTCAGGACGTTGCCCAGAAGAGCTGAGCCTGGCAGGAACTGTTGTGGGCATCAGGCCCCACCCAGGGAGACCAATGCGGGAGCCCCCACAATGCTGGGATGAGAGTAGTGGGTAAGACGTTTCAGGCAGAAGGAAGGCAGTCCTTCATCAGGGGCAGCCTCACCCCAGCATGTGCATTTGTTGTGTTTATTGGACTTAGAGTGCACACGTGTCCGGCAGCAATCAAGGTTTTCTAGGAGAAGTACTCATAAAGTGGTGAGGCCTGATGCCCACAACAGTCACACAGTAGCACAAAATGACAGCAGGAGAGAAAGGGAGCCATTCCTGGCAGACACAAGCCCTGGCCAAGGCCTGGGTGACAAGGTTGTGCTGGAGTAAGATATGGAGTGCAGTCGTGTGACTGCATAGGAGACAGCCACAACACGACAAGAGGCTCTACCTAAACCATCAGTAATTCACCCAGTCCAACCCCTGGGGAAAGGAGGAAGTAAATTTTATCCACCTGTTTTCTTGTCATGCAGCTAGGGAAAAAATAACGTATGCAAACCAAGGACGTAAGGTTTTTAGCAAAGGAATACACAGGTGATTCTGTTTATGCATGCATGTATGCCTGTGTGTGTATATGCCTCTGTGTGTGTGTGTGTGTGTGTGTGTGTGTGTGTGTGTGCACGTTCACGCGGGCGCTGAGGAATAGGGTAGAGGTGTGAGAGAGGGATTCACAGCTAAAGGAAAAGTAGAGTACTACAATTAGTAAAACAAATATCAATGAGACTCCCGTCTTGCTCTGCTTTTCAACACATACGTTCCAAACATGGGGATGCTGTCGGTCTTATTTATTCCAGCATCTACCAAGGAAGGTGAGCACCCTAGAGCATGCCCTTTCTGGAACTCAGGAAAAGTAATTATTATTTCAGTTTGCTGGGATTGTGCTCAAATAAATCAAAACAAAAATATCCTTGTATCTTCTGTTGTGTTAATGTTTTAAACCACTTGATTACAAGTAGAGATGCTACCCACTTACTGTCAGACT